TCGACTCCTGTGAACCAAAACGTAGTCAGTGCTTCCAGTATGTACACAATGTGAACACAAAGCTCTGGGAATGTCGATGTGAAGGCTTGTCTGTTAAATTTGAGTTCGTATCATGGATAACGGACGGATTTAAAAGCTGAACAGGCCTCTGCTGTTTGGCCTTAGCCATGGCTAAGTTTGTGTAGAAGAGTGAAATAACCTCCTTTTGTGAGTGTGCAGAATTCCTGGGTTAATATAGAAGCTTGTGATGGAACAGAATAGAATATGCCTTTACTGTCATTGTATGTGTACACCCAGATTGTCTGCTCCACCAACTGTGCAGGTATAAAATATAAAAAGTAAGACAAAGGAGCAAGAGACACAAGAACAGGTTGGAAAGTAGAGTGGATCTGGGCTGGGGGGGCGGGGGTCTGGAGGTGTGGGACCTCAGTGAGCTGTGGTGGGTGAGTACATTTAGCATTTTTAACCAGTCGCAAATCAGTCTTTGATTTTGATGCTTGTTTTAAAATCAGAATTCCCAAGAAATGATTCATCATTGGAGATCAGCTTCATAGTTCAGTCTTCAAAGTGTATTTTTAATCACGAGGTTTTAATCCAGCAACATGAATGTTGGTGCTGCCCTTATGAAGCACAGTGGTAATGACAGTAGGTCACAGGAGACTTTAAAGATTGCAAAATTAAGATTCAATGCAGCGACTGTGTTTACAGAGAGTGAAGAAGAAACGCTCAGTACATCATAGGAAGGCCCCAGCAGCCTATCGCAGCAGGGATGGTCACCTGATCCAACCCTGACTATAGTCAGGAAAACGCCCCACAACATGACACAGCCTGACTGATATAAGGCAGGATGGATCCATCAGACCAGACTACAGTTTGCTTCTATCATCCAGTCTTGGTGAGACTGGATCTGACAGCAGTGCCGCCCAGTGTGTCTCCTACTGCATCAAGGTAACAAGTGATCCTGTCAGTCCTGTCAGCTGAGCCTTGTCTAAATGCATTAGATTTCTACCATATTATTATTTAGGGATTTGTGTTAGGTGTGACTAACAAAGTGCAGTTAGAGCATGTGTGTATTTACATAGCAATGAGAGATATATAGATATATATATATATA